TGGGTTGTTTTCCCAAGAAAACAAGGCTCTTGTGACACTTGTAGCTCGCTGTGGTTGAAGTGGTGGCCGTGCCAGGTGGTCTCGGCCACAGAGGACCTTTGGCCGGGAGCAGTGTGCTGGTGGGACCGGTGCCTCCGGCCCGTTTTGGGGAGGAGGGATGGGGCTGCGTGTGGAGTTTGGATCCTGGCACCCGGCCTGGGGTGGTTAATGGTTCACCAGGGTTGGCTGGAGGGAAGGGGGTGGCGAGGGGAGTGGAGCTGGACTGTCCCTCATGGGAGTCAAGGCTCAGTGAGAACAGCCAGCCTCGGCCACCCTGGGTTGGCCCCTGGCCACTGTCCTTGGGCTTGCTGGGGGGCAGACACTGCCCCACGCCTCCCTGCTGCGCCAACTGAGAAATCCCCAAATTTTCTGTGGGCCTGGACATGCCATGGAGGGCACGGGAAAGGTCCTGGCCTTCAGAGACCTTGGCATGGTCCAGGACGTGCCGTTCCACTCGGCTCTGCTGGTGCACCCAGGCTCATGGAGATGTTTGGGCTGAGGGGTGGCCAGCCTGCCAGCTGCCCCCCCTGCTCAGAGCAGGGCTGGCCCCAGAGCAGCCTCAAGTTGCCCAGGGCCACCTCCTGGCATGGTTCAGAGCTCTCTGGGGATGGGCATAGAATCATAGAATAGAGTTGGAAGGGACCTTAAAGATCATGGAGCTCCAACCCCCCTGCCCTGGGCAGGGACACCTCCCACCAGACCGGGTTGCTCAAAGCCCCGTCCAGCCAGGACTTGAACCCCTCCAGGGATGGGGCAGCCACAGCTTCTCTGGGCAACCTGGTGGTGTCCCACCACCGCTGACAGTTTTATTCCTTAGATCTAATCTAATCTCCTCTCTTCTAGTTTGAAGACATTACCCTCAAGCTACCACCACCCCACCCCATCCTTCTTCACTCAACCACTTCATCCTTCCCATCCTACCTCCTGCCTTGTCCCCGTATCCCAGTCTCACAGCCAAGGGTACCACCAGGCTGGGACCCCCACTGGCCAGCTGGGACAGCATTTGTGCAAGCCCAGACTGTTTTGGGCTGGATGTCATGTCCTCCCTTCCCTGCAGGTAGCCGTGCCAGTGTCCGGACCGCCCTGCACACCCTTCTGGCATCACGCTGGCCCTCGCAGCGGGATGTCCGCTCCTGGCTCCAGCTCCTCGCCGTCCTGCAGTGGGTGCTCAGCTTCCTGCTGCTGGGTGAGTAGGGGGGCTGCGGGGTGGTCCTGATGGGGTGGGCACGCACCCGCTCACCCCCCTCCCCGGCTCCCGCAGGAACCGTCAGCCTGCTGGTCCTCATCTACCTGGTGTTCACCAGCTTCTGGCCCATCTCCGCGCTCTACCTGGCCTGGATCATCTTTGACTGGGAGACGCCGGAGAAAGGTAGGGGATGGGCAGAGCCCTCCACTTCCTCCAGCTCTGCAGCAGGATGGGGTGCGGGGTCCCCTGCTTTCTCAGGGTCCATCCCAGCACAGCGGATGGGGAGCACCAAGCCCCACCTGTTCTTTCTCTCCTCTCCCCCATCATCATCATGGTGGGAAGAGGGAGTGTGGTCCTGCTGCCATGTGTCATCTGTGGTCCCTCCCCTGTTTGCAGGTGGCAGGAGGCTGCCGTGCCTGCGGCGATGGACCGTGTGGAGGCACTTTCGGGATTATTTCCCTGTGAAGGTACAGTGTGGGGAGCCAGGGTGTCAGGATGGGACATTCATGCAAGCAGGTAGTACAACCCAAAAGGTCCCTACAGTCCCCCCCAACCCCGTTTTGTCCCTCTGACACCGTTTTGTCCCCGCAGCTGGTGAAGACACACGACCTGTCCCCCAGCCACAACTACATCATCGGCTCCCACCCCCACGGCATCCTCTGCGTTGGTGCCTTCTGCAACTTCATCACGGGCTCCACAGGCTTTGGGGAGATGTTCCCGGGCATCCGGCCCTTCCTCACCACCCTGGCCGGCAACTTCCGCCTGCCCGTCTTCAGGGAGTACCTGATGAGTGGGGGTGAGCGGCCGTGGGCAGCGCGGCGGGCAGCTGCCTGCTACCCTGCCCTCACAGAATCACATGGGGTTGGAAGGGACCTCTGGAGATCATCTAGTCCAACCCCCTGCCAGAGCAGGTCCACCCAGAGCAGGTCCCACAGGAGCTTGTCTGGGCTGGTTTTGAATGTCTCCAGAGAAGGAGACCCCACCACCTCTCTGGACAGCCTCTTCCAGTGCTCTGGCACCCTCAAAGTGAAGAAGTTCCTCCTCATGTTTAGGTGGAACTTCTTATGTTCAAGTTTGTGCCCATTTCCTCACGGGCACGGCATAGCTGGTGGGTGATGCATTGAGCCAAGTGGGTGCCCTGGGGATGCACCCCCTGCCTGCCCTGCTCCTTCCCACCTCTGCAGCCACGCGTGGGCAGAGCATGGAGGGGACATTGCCCATGGGATGAGGAGTTCTGGGGGGGTTCCCAGTCCCATCTGTGGGACGGATGGCCTCTGTGCTCCCCAGAAGCAGGCGGGGCAGGGGTGGTACCCTGCCCACACCCTGCCTGAACTCCACCCTCACCTTGCTTGCACCTTGCCAGCATCCTGCCCACACCTTGCCCACATCTTGCCTGCACCCTGGCCGGGTGGGGACCCCACCTTCCCCCGTGAGCTCTCCCACAGCAGAGGGAGCCCTTGCACTGTCCCTTGCATGGTTCCTCCAGGCACGTTCCCCTGTGGGGTCACTCGTGGGCTCCCCGTCCCCACCCCGAGTGCTGCCCCGCATCACTGGTAGTCTGTCCCACCACAGGCCTGTGCCCGGTGACACGTCGCGCCATCGGGTACCTGCTGTCCAAGAATGGCACCGGCAACGCGGTGGCCATCGTCATCGGCGGCGCGGCCGAGTCGCTCTCCTGCCGTCCCGGCGTCACCACGCTCATCCTGAAGAACCGCAAGGGCTTCGTCCGCATGGCCCTGCAGCACGGGTGGGTCACGGGCACCGCCACCATGGGGGGGTCTGGGGGTCTCGGCACCCCATCACCACCCACTATGTCCCCTCCACAGGGCCTACCTCGTCCCCTCCTTCACCTTTGGGGAGAATGACCTTTTCCGCCAGGTGGTCTTTGAGGAGGGCAGCTGGATGAGGAGCATCCAGCAGCGCTTCCAGAAGATGATGGGCTTCGCTCCCTGCGTCTTCTATGGCCGAGGTCTCACCTCCGTCCATTCCCGGGGCTTCCTCCCTTACGCCAGACCCATCACCACCGTGGGTGAGCATCGCCCATTGGGGCAGAGGGGACCCCCCAGAATGTGGAGGGGCAAGAGGAGGACATCCCGTGATGGGTGGCATTGGAAGGCAACACTCAGCTCATGTCTCTGATGAGCCGAGCACGCCCCTGCACCCACCACCCTGACCTTCCTCCCCTCCTCGGCAGTGGGGGAGCCAGTGATGGTGCCCAAGATCGAGGACCCGAGCTGCGAGATGGTGGACATGTACCATGAGATGTACATCCGCTCCCTGCTCAAGCTCTTCAACGAGAACAAGACCAAGTACGGGCTGTCGGAGACAGATGAGCTGCACATCCTCTGAGCACGGCCGGCGCCGGCGGCCAGATCCTGACTCACAAGGGGGGGGGGATTCCACCTTGCGGGTGGGGATTTCAGCCGGCCCGGCATGGGGGGCACACGGGGGACGGTCCCAGCTCCAGTCCTCTGCTCCTCCAGCTGAAAAACCTGAGCAGGAGGTGGGAGGAAAAAGAGGAAGCGAGGGAAGGGGGAGATTGGGAAAGGGTCCCCCTCAAAAGGGGTTTGGAGGGGCTACGGGTGACACAGCTGTCCCCCAAGGACATGAGACTGATGGGGGGGGGCTGGCACAAAGCTGGGGTCCAGAAATGGGCGTGATCCCCTGAAGATAACCAGGACACCATGAGCTGAGGGAGGAGGTGTCAAGGGAAGAGGGAATGAGATGAACTCTTTGGGCTGGCATCCCAACAGCGAGCAGGACTGGGCTGAGGAGACATTCCTTCAGGGAAGGGGGGACACTCCTGGTCTTGGAGATCCATGGAAGTGGCCTCAGCTGGGACCATGGAGTCTTGGGCAAGGGGGCAGGTGCTGCCCTGGCCCCAGATGAGCCTTTTCCACCACCTCTGTACCCAATACAGATTTCCAACTCCCCCCACCGCTGCCTGTGTGTGCTGGGGGGGCAGGATCAGCGCTACCATGGCCATACCCCTGTGTAGGTGGACATGCCACCCACCCATGTCTCCTCCCTAGCAGTCCCATCTCTGGGGCTGGTGATGTGCTTGGTGGGGACCCTTGCACCACTCAGGTGCAACCAAGCATCTTCAGGTCCACCTGGGCCACATTGGCTATAAGGGGAGGTGAGGTGCTGCAGCTGCTCTTACTGGGTTAACTGGGCTTAGGAGGGCCATCTGCTTCTCTCTCTGCTTTCAGCTCAGTGGTGAGTGAGGGGGTCTGTGGGGGTCCAGTGGGATGGGGGATCCCTGTGACCTTCTCCCTCCCTCCCTGGGTGACCTGGGCAGCTCCGGGTGGGATGTGGCTGCATGTGGCCGGTGCCAGGGCTGGGGGGGTGACACACCGATGATGTTATGGGCTTCCCTTCTCTGGGTATCTGCTGGGGTGATGGAGGGGGAAAGTGTCCCAGAGCTCCCCAGGGTGGGGAGAGCCTGGTGCCATCCCTTCCTGGACTGATGTGGGAGGGTCAATAGCACTGATAGCCATCTCTGGTCTCTCTACGCAAGAACTCGGTCAAACAAGAGGACTGGGTAAACATTTGGAAAGCAAACACCCATAAAGGCAGATTTCTGAGGACTCTCCCATCCCTGTGGGTGTCACCGCTCCAGCCCCTCACTCTGGACCTGTCCCGGAGCTGTGGCAGTGGGTGGCTTTTCTCTGCTCTCAAAGGCTTTCTGGCATGAGGGTGGGCACCTTGTCCCTCTTCCTTCTGCCACAAGGAGAAACAAGTCTGGGTGTAGAGAAAGGGGAAAGGACTTTATTGGGGGATGACGGGCAGTAAGTGCCCTGTGCTGTGTCCCTCCCTGCCTCTCCCAAGGCCGATGGTGTGACAGGGACATCTCGGGGAGCCTCTGCCAGGCACACAGGGGACCCCGCATCGGCACCGTCCCCAGGTTCAGTCCGGTCCACGCATGTTGCTGCCAAGCAGACTGGAAGGGCTGCACATCCCCAGGGAGGGACCAGTGTCCTTTCTCTTTAATGACCTGTCAGCCCCCGCCTGTCCTCAGGAGCATCCTGGGATGGGACATGCCCTATCCCAAAGTGGCTTTCTCAGCATCCTTCCCATTCCCTCACCAAAGTGGCTCTCCTGCCCCGAGCAGTACTGTGACCCTCCTCCTACCGCATCCCGGGGCAGGGCTGGGACAAACCCCATGGCCACCCATCCTCAGCCTTCAGCAGGGGCAGGTTTGGAGACCTTGGGGTGCTGGGGTGCCCCCACAGAGCCCCCCGAGGGGCTGTGACTTGTGGAGACCAGGGATGAGGCTACTGTAACCCCTCATTGTCTCCTTGGCACCCGCCTCTGCTCCGTGCTGTCCCTGTCCCTCGGGTGTCATTGCCATTGTGACTGCCACCCATGAGGTTGTCCGTGGTGGGGGACACCAGGGCCAGGTTGCATGTGGGCACGGGCCGGAGCCGCTGGCCTGGACCCCGACGCAGCTGCCCCCGGTACTTGTCCCCAGCCATGAAGTACAAGATGGGGTCGAGGCAACTATTGATGCTGGCCAGGGGCCGTGTGATCTTGTAGGTGAAGTTGATGATGTTGAGGGTCCGGCAGTCGGCTTGGAAGTAGCGGGAGGTGTAATAGAGGGTCCGGGTGATGTGGAAGGGCACAAAGCAGATGGCAAAGACGGTGAGGACAATGACGATCATCCTGATGGAGCGCTTCTTGTAGGAGGGCATTCGGAGGCTGGAGCTGGAGAATCTGGACTTGCCGAGACTCTTGGCCATCAGGCAGTAGCACAGGACAATCACCAGGAAAGGGACCCCAAAGAGGAGGGCCATGACGGAGGAGCTGTAGTGCACGTAATGGTCAAACTCTTCAGGCCTGGTGGTGTCATGGCACAGGGTGCTGTTGCCCTTGGAGCTGGTGGTGACAAAGATGAGGTTGGGGATGAGGCAGATGGTGACGACAAGCCAGGCGCCCACACAAATGATGCGGGCGTGCTTGGTCTTCACCCACTTCAGGGAGCGGATGGGGTGGCAGATGCCCATGTAGCGGTGGACGCTGATGCACGTCAGGAAGAGGATGCTGCTGTAGAGATTAGCGTAGAAGAGGAAGCGAACGATCTTGCAGAGCCATTTCCCGAAGGGCCAGTTGTTGCGGTCGGCGTAATAGTAGACCAGGGTGGGGAGGGAGAGGACATAGAGCGTGTCAGAGACGGCCAGGTTGAACATGTAGGTGGTGGTGGCATTCCACGGCCTCATCCTGGAGATGAACATCCACAGGGCCCAGGAGTTGAGGGGCAGCCCCACCACGAAGACGATGCTGTAGGATACGGGCAGTAGGATGAACTTGAACTCCTCGTTGAAGACGCACGTGGCCTCCGACACCGCGGTGGTGTTTTCTCTCGGCCAGGGAGCCAGCGTCGGTGTCCACAGGGCAACTGGGAACGTCCTCACTGAAGTGGCCATGTTTTCCAAGCCAGATCTAGGGGAGCAGTTAATAAAAGCGCATTAGTCGTTGATCCCGACCATTGTCAGGCACAAAGCGTGGAAAGGAGCCAAAGATGCCAGATTTGCCCCCCCCCCCCCCCCCC